AAAGATTTTGAGTTTGGGTGGAGTTCATAATCATTCCATTTGGGTGGGCCAGACCCAAATGAGTCTATTTGAGTCTATATAATTATGCTTACGAAAAGGCGATATATATCATCTCACCACTGTCTTCAAGCGATTAACACATTTAATGTTTGTGTTTGCACATTTATGTTTGATTTTGAACAAAGAAAAAAAGGGCAAAAGTTGCAATAGAGTTGGTATTCATTTTCTTTTCGATAGCCAATGTAACATGCCTAATTTTTTGATCCAAACTAAAAAGTTGAGTATGAATACACCCCAAAAGTGATATTAGTCAAACTCAATGTGATCCAAAATAAATTGAATTTGGATAGTAGTATGCAGTTATAATCGCGTGCAAAGTTTACAAGATTACACTTCTAAGTAAGCAAAACTCTTATACGATAATCATGTTTTTCACTTACTAGTATAGTCAAAATCTACGACTTAAATCTTAAAAACTTATACTTTTACGCTTCTAGTTCACCAAAATGCTTCTATATAGAATCATGCTTTCAACTTCACTGGTTAGTACAAAAAACTTGGGTCTTTTTTGTCATCCCTACACACAACCCCAACACAATAATGGTAGAAATATATTGCTATGATCCTATTCATTTCTTTATATTGAAAACAATTTTGGACAACATGAAACCGCCGGCTACATAACTAATTGGACGACCAGCTAATGTATCACAATCTGATTACGCTGTAACAAGACAATGGGAATTCAGTATCTGTTGGGATGGGAGGATAGCCCAAATAGAAGCTTTCCATCTACCTCAACATCAGTAATGAGCGAACTAGACAGACAGCCAATAAGCCCAACACCATTTAATTTTGTGGCCTTTGGGATTGGATATGGCAACCATATACATAACTCGCCCACTTGGGAATTACAGAGAAACTATCACACACAACACGTACTATTATGACTAATGAATACAGTTGCTCAACTACATACTCTGTCGGCATGGACCCTCGACGACCGCTTGGTGGTCGTTTTGGTGCCCATAAAGATGGTTATGATGTGTACAGGTCTTGGTTATCATATGATCTATCACTTTAAGGAAAAGTCCGGTAACAATAGTTGTTATCGTGACCAGTGCTACGACAAATGTATTGTAGACGTAACGATAGTCTTTCAACATTCATAATCGAATATTAGGTGAGTAAGGTCGACATAGTGTACAGAGCAGTGTGGGCAAATTCATATATGGATATGGATCAAACCCCCCTCCCTCCCCCCTCTTCGCAGATCCAAAACCTAGAGAAGTCACAAGGGATTCATAGGCTTGAGGTTTATCTAAACCAATGTAGTCAAAATCGCGCTTTAAAACTTACGGTTTTACGTTTCTAGATCACCAAAACGCTTCTCGCAATATCAATCACATTTTGTATAGCTAATGTAGTTGAAAACGCGCTTTAAACTTACAAATTTACGATTTTACACTTCTAATGTAGTTAAAAATGAGAATAATTGGGTTCTCTAGTCACAAGTATTTTCCCCCGTTTGTTTGTTTATGCATAAAAGCAACCGAGGGTAGTCAGCCGTACAACACTACAAGAAAAATTAGCTATTGTGACTAATTCCTGGAGACAAATGTTACATTTGTCTCTATGAGTACCTTATAGAGGACAATTATACAATTTGTTACCACAAGTATAATTATCTGTCTCTAAAACTATCCTTTATATGACATATTATAAATTGTCTCTAGAAGTATTATTATTTTTCTATAAGCATTTTTTTCTCAGAGTAACTTTAGTTTTAGAGATAGATTATTACAATTGTCATTTAAATATTTGCATCCACAATTTAATGACCACGCATAGGAATAGACCAATATTTTAAATAATTTACTGGGATTAGATATTGAAGTACTAATCCCAAGACTCTTATCTATGACCAGTGACCACCCCAATTCCCTTCCCCCAGACTCTATCGAGTTGAAAAAGAAAATCTCTACACCCGGCTCCCCACCGCCTCTGGCCAACATCCGCTGTCCATAGCTCCGTCGTTCCTCCTCCCATAAGCGTTCTCTTGCTGCTTGGCTGCCCTCGGGGTCCGATTTCTTTGGGTTGATTTGTCTCTATAAGAGCGGTACAACTCAGTTTTCTCTTTTGCTCGATCTGATTTAGGGTTTACCTGATCCTTATTCCTCGTATATTGAGTTGCATTTGTTTATTGTCACCTGTTAAGATTAGATCCTGCATTATTTTAGTTTGCCTTCTGTCGTTAGTTTACTGCATGTTGAATGGTAACGCAGATATAGATTCAACCATCTGCATCTTGAAGTTTCTACCTCCGGCGTGAAGTTCACGCTGATTGCTATCGGAAGCAAATCAATCTGGCAGCCATCCTTACCGGCTATAGGGGATTTTAGGTTCTTCGAGGGTTTGGTATGGATTCCATCTTTATTCTTTCAGTTGACCTTAGATAGCTATCCCTTACTTAGATTTCATCATATCCATGTGATGTTACTTGCGGCTGATTGTGAATTGCAAAATGAGATTGAGAAACTTGGAAGAAAATTTTAGGAATTTGGGAGTTGAAAGAATGCCTTCGGGATGAGATTGACCTCTTATTTTTACATCCCCCTCCTTTTGGTTCCCAGGGATACACGATCCTCTGTTTTGGAAGAAATCCTTAGGATTGGAACTCACAAGAATGTTTTTGTTTGCTTATATTGGATGCAATATATGGCAAGAATACATATAGCCTTTCACTTAGCTTAGTCTTTAACACATGTGGATGCACAGTATATGGCAGGCTACTTACTTTGAGCACTTATATAGTTGATCGTCATGTAACTGTTGATGTGGCTCCAAGTAAAGACCTAGGTGGTTGTAGGCGTACAATTATAAGTGTAATACTTTTTCTTTTGATTGAATACGGAGTGGGGAGATAAGTATGTGTTCAATGTGCTGCATATTTTTTCTTCTTCTTCTAGACATTTGTGTAATAGTTGAACATCTCCTCAATAACTTTACTAACAGATCTGATAAGGGGCAACTCCCCTGTGAAATATGCCAGGTCATTTCAGTTTCATGTTGTTTTTCCATAAACGTGAGGAAGATGCTCCAAGATTGATTGAAAGGTATAATCAATAGTCGTTTGGTAAGCACGTAATGTAGAATTCATGTTTTTGAAGAATTCATGTATATTGTAGGTTGAGTTGTGAGAACTTGTGTAATATTAGAATGCGTTGTTTGGCTTGCACCAATATCATGATATCTGTTCAAAATGTACATATACGAACCACTTAGTGGAAGCCTGATACTACGAGAACATGCACTTATATGCTTGATGTTACTTTTATGCAGGGGAGTGGGACTCGTGGGAGTTGTATTGTTGATATATCTAGGTAATTAGAAACTAATTTGGCAGTGGATGGTCTCTCAAACTCTTTCTCTGGTGTTGTGCAGTCTTTAGGATTGATAAAATGTAGATGTATACTTTTTAATAGGAAGAAGCCTATAGACGAGAAGAACTTATGGACGATGCCAGAGTGGTTTCACGCCAAGTAGAAGGAGCACTCAACCAATTCGTTTCTAGTTAGAGTTTAGGACAAGCCTATACGCAATTGTGTGGTGTTATTTGGTAGTTTTTCATAGACAATTCCTATGTATAAATAAATATGATTACTAATGGGAATCCTTTTATATTATTATTATTATATTATATTATTATACTTTTCCTCCTTTCAACAAACCAGAATTTATTTGCTATAAAAATTATATTATATTTCATAGAAATCTCATCACAAACAAATTCTTCTGTCTCTATAAATAATATTTGAAACAAAAATAAATGTTTTAAATAATAATGATTTGCCTCTATAGATGATATTAGAGGCACAAGTTTTTGTCTCTATACATCATTCTAGAGACAGACTTTTGTGTCTCTAAAAATAGACATTGGAGACTAATATATTAGTTGCAGAATCTCTAACTAGCAACATACATCATTTGTCTCTATATTTGTCTCTATAGAGTTATAGCAACAGCACTACTTGAGACAAATGTATTATATGCATCTAAAGGGATATAGAGACAAATAAGGCCCTTACAGATGCACATTTCCTTTGTCTCTATAACCCATTTTTCTTGTAGTGCAAGTAAATTCCTAAGGCATTAGATTTTGACGGCAGTGTTGACTGTTGAGAGATATGTCGGCCAACTGATACGAAAAGAAGAACGTGCGGAAGGGAAACGAGAGTATATATAGCTGTAAACTTGGAATCAAAATTGTTGCTTTCCCCGACCCAGCCTAGCTATCTAGCTGTGAAATCCGCCGCTCTCACTTTCGCTTGTTATTAATGCCGACACATGATCTCATCAGATGAGCTGGTAGTATAGTATTATGCAATTGGAGCTAATTGATTTGAGACCTCAACTTATTTTGCGTATAAACCCCCACCTTTGGAAATTTTCTTTCCTTTTCTGATCAATGTGTGCGACCTCACCGTCAAGGAACTGCCGCGGATAAGTTTGGACTCTGGAGCGAGTTGTCAGGAACCATTCACATCCTCATTTTTCAAAATCGCAAAGTCCATATCCCAATTTATATTGTGCGGAGTTTTGCAGTTTTATCTCCATCTTCGCGATTTATGGATCTCGTATATCTAATCGGATTCTGCATGGAATTAATTTAAAAATAAAATTAATTATTGAGTTAAACATCAAATGGATCTAGTAAAATATTAAGTCAATAAATATAAACCACTCCACAATATGAAATCAAGTTAATTCATACTGCTTCGTGATTGAAACATAGATAATCTTACACAAAAAAAAAAAAAACAAATAATTCAACCCGCCTTTTTCACCCCACAAAATTGCGGAAGATAATAAGAAGCGGGCCGTGATTCGTTGAACTATGATGCAAAGCGGGCCGTTTGGATGAATGAGTTTCTGCTTCCAATTTGGGCCCAATTTAAAACTTTGTTCTTGATTAAAAATAAAATATTTCTGGAAAATAAGGAGGACTAAAGACATCCAGAGAATCGAGGGGAGAAGAAATCGATCGAGACAGTCGCCGCCGCAGGTACTTCCGTCAGCCGTCGGAGCTCGTTGTATCGGAAGAGAGAGATATATCGTTGGATAGCGAACCAGGCCGAGAAATAGAGCTGGCTCGGTAGACCGGAGCCGCATCGCGTGGGAGACTGGGAGGAGATCGGGTCGGCGAAACAGAGCAGCTTTCCTTTCGTTCCCCGGGGAATCGAAGCTCTCTCTGTGGGCAACTTCGACGACTTCCCGGTAACGTGCTGAGCTAATTCTAAGGTATTTTGCGTTGAGGTCAGATTAGCTACGTTTCGAAATGTTTCGTCGATGAGGTCTGAGGCTTTCGTTATCCGTCTCAGCATGTGCCTGGATCGGGGTTTTGTTGTACTTGGACATTGTCTTGTGCTTGCATTGCTGTACAATTTTCGCCTGCATAAATTAAATGCCTTTCTTGATTCCTTGTATATATACCTATATGCTCTCGTTCTGCAATAGCTTTAATAGTCCTTGCTATTGCCGCACTTGATAATCTTGAGAATTTGCTGTATTTTAAGTGTGGGTTTTAGCTTGTTTTGTTCAAGGGATTCCTCTGTCAATGGTGGCTTTGTAGCAAGGTGTCTATTTTGCTTTATGTTCTTCCATTCCGATTCAGCAATGTGTATATGTGTTGGAATCACTGTGTTCGGCACAGCCGGACTCGTTTCTATTTAAAGCATGTTTTATTTTCTTGATAGATGCTTTTGCCGCTCATTTATACATGTGAGCAAAGTTTGGGAGGCTGTGTGTATGAGATCGGGTTTTCGTTAAGGATTTTAGAGGTTGTTTGAGTGGAAAAGGTGAAGTAGGTGCTTGTCATGGTTTGCTTGTGGTTTGATGGCTCATTCTTGGTGACGATGAAGACACATCTTGTTTTGTGTTGTATATCAGAATCCAGGACCTGTGCTGCTGTGAATTGTTGGTTTTCCATGAGTCAAATTATGTAATTTTCCCATTCCGGACCTTGTCTTCTTTTCCCCTCTAATGCTGACAATAGAAGGATTTAGCAATGCATGTTATCTGTTTCTGCCAGCGTTCGTACTTTTACGGCTTTTGTTTTCTTTTTGCTCGTTACTGCTCAGTATTTGTGTAAATCCTCCAATGGATGACCCTCCCTCATCATCTTCCAATGTTCGTTCTTGTCTTGGTATTTTTAATCTTGAAATAAATGGTGTTTATCTGCTTATAGGTTAGTTACTATTTCATCAAGTGAAAGATAATCAGTTAGTCTGCTAAATTCCTTGTTGATGGTTCCATGTGCTTCCATTTTTGTTTTGTATTCCTATTTTGGGTATCTTCATAGTTTCCCGAAAGAGGTTATCCTGCTCTGGTGTCGATCAGAATTCTGTTTTTTTCTTCTTCTCATATGGGCTTTTGCTCTGCTTGGTTCTGTAGATTGCTGCTGCTAATGAAAGTATTGGTCGTCAAAGCAACTAGGTCCCGGACTAAACTCTGCGGTTCAGTTTGTCCACTATTTTCCGCCTCGTCAATTTCCCCAGCCCTAATTCCACCAGAAAACAGAACAGAGCAAGCAAGAGGGAGAAGCCAATAGAACACACATACGAACAGGCCCACCGCTCACGCAACGTAGAGGAAGGGACGCAATGGCAGAGAAATTGGCTCCGGAGAAGCGTCACAGCTTCGTTCACAACGGTCTCCATTTTCCCCAATTTTTCCCTGATTCTGATTCTGACTCTTAGTCGATTCAGTAGACTATTTCCGATATCTGATTCTGGTGAGCCAATTGGAGTTCCTTCTATCTGATTGCGTCCTCCTGGCTGCTCTGCTATTTCTGCAGGCAACACGGTGTTTGAATGGGACCAAACCCTAGACGAGGTTAATATGTACATAAAGAGGCCGATGGAAGTTCGTCCGCAGCAGTTCCACTGCGTGATTCGGTCTAATCATCTCACGTTCGGCATCAAAGGCAGCCCTCCTTTTCTCGATGTCGGTTCCGGTTTTTGCACACTCTCCAGATTCGATTAGTTTATGTTCCCTCGAGGATTCGATGATTATGTGATGTCTGTAATTTGATTGATTTGCAGCATGACCTCGCTCATCCGGTGAAGACAGACTGTTCTTTCTGGACTATAGGTACGTCAAATTTTGCTATCTACGTTTCTGCTATGTGGTCTAGACAGTGTGGGTTTGGGAACTTGCTGAGAGTTTGGAAGTTTACAGAAGGACGATCTGTTCATCTGCCTGTGGACGGGAAATGGGTAGTGTTGGTGAATTAAGTTGGGTTCTTTTCTTGTCTCGTGTTAGAGGATGATATAATGCACATTACTCTGCAAAAGAGGGATAAGGGGCAGATGTGGGCTTCTCCTCTTATGGGTGATGGCCAGCTGGATCCTTATGCAGCTGATATTGAGCAGAAGCGTCTTATGCTCCAGAGATTTCAGGAAGAGGTAAGTTGCTAATGCGTGTGATTTGGTTCTCTCTAATTATTGTTGTTCATACATACGTCTACAGTTTTGTTCCCTTTGTTTTTTCTATTGTGTTTCAATGGCTGAACAATGCACGATTTCACTGATCATTAGAGTTTGGCGTGTTTGCTGGTGCACCTATCTTTCCGATTGTTTCAGAAATTTGATGGTATAACCAGTACCCTTTTGTGTGTAGCTTATCCCTTATTGCCAGATTTTGTAAACAGTTCTTTCATAATATAATAACTGGAGATCTTACTGATGCTAGGACACTTTTAATGAATTCTTGAATCTTGAGAAGGAACTGGGTATATGAGTAAAGTAGTAATCTCCTTCTGGCTTCTGTCAAATATGCTAAGATTTGGTGAAAGTGTTATGTGAAAGATAGTCCACGGAAGGGCCAGAATGCTCAGTAGGTTTGATAGCTTACTCCCGCCTTGGATGTGAATGTGTATGTTGATTACGAGGTCGAATTTCTAAAACATTCAATGATTTGCTATTCCCGGTAGACTGTTACGTTATATCATTCTTTTCAACCAGGATGCTGTGACACAATGCTTTCCTGCTAATTGAAGTATATATGGCATTCTCTACCACACTGTTGACTTGACACTCTGAATGTGAGATGAGATGGAGTTGGTTTTACCTTATGTTGGGCTGCTTATAGTTTTAGCTTAAAACGTCTTAATTGGGTCAGCACTCAGCATTGTTCAATTTGGCAATCACCACCTTATGCATGGAACTCATTCGTTTGTTTATCCAGCTTAATTCACCTTGCACCTCTATGACTCTGCAGTCGTGGTGAAACTGATAGACTCTCTAATGCTTTAAGCTTAACGACTGACTGCCTCTTGATTCTCTTTTAGTTTCGTGCACGAATCTTATCTTCACAGGTGCTAATAACGTAACCTTCCATTTATGCAGAATCCGGGTTTCGACTTCTCACAAGCTCAATTTACAGGGAATTGCCCCGATCCAAGAACTTTCATGGGAGGGATTCGTAACGATTGACCATGCCATTGCGTCGTATTGTTGTTTTGTCAGGCTGGTGGCCTAATCCAGACGTTCTTGTAGAAAACAGTCCTGTATTCTCTACTTTCAAGCCAGGTCTGGCTTCTCAGCAAAAACGATCAGCAACCGGCTTCTATGTCATATATAGGATGTAGCACCAGTTGCTCGTTCTCAAGTTGAAGTTGCACAATTTGTATATGATTTATGGCTTGGGAAATGACTGTCCCTTCTGCGCTTGTTCTGAGGATGGACGAAAACTCGACTTTGTTCAATGATCCATCTGTCATGTACATCAGTACACCAGACTTCTATGCTGTTTTGTATTGCAGCAGTGTCTGTCATTATATGAGCTGCGTGGTTTGCTTCTCTTTTTGACACGTCTTCGCCTTCCCTGTGTACCCTCCCTTGGACTGCAGCAGTCCGATTCCAGAATTATATTGTCTATTATGATCATGTCCAAAATGCAAGTGAAATAATTTTGAGATAGATATAATTAATAAAAACTTCAAAGTGATATTTTAAGGACCAATATACCTCAGACAACGATACCTCAGACAACGATAGACCTGGTCTTAGGGTAGAAATCGGTATCGGTATTCTAATACTTACTACCAAAATTCCGAATATCAAATAGTACCCTTAACTCAATCTCAATCTATCTCAAAATAAATTCGGTATCTCAATTCCAATTCCTAAAATTTTATTCGGTATCAATATATACCAATTACCAATTAATTTTCTTCATAATCACAAATAAAATATACAAACACAAATACAAGCTCCACCAACCATTTTCAAAAGGGCGTACTATTTGTAGCCCTAAATTGTCTTTATTTGTAGTCCTAAATTATAAAAAGTACAATAATATCCATCACATTTAAATACATTTAGTTCACACATTCCAAGACCAAAAATTCAAACACTTTTTCCAAACACAATCCTACAATACTCGCCACTGGCGACTGCCACCTCTCGCGGCGACCGCCACCTCTGCCGGACCCGTGGGTACCCGACCCAACCCAATCCGGTCAACTCGGGTAAAATCCGTGTTGACCGGGTTCGGGTTTAAACCCGATGGCTATTGACCGGGTTGGGGCGGGTTCGGTTTGGGGGTACCCGGCCCGTGGATACCCGGCCACACCCCCTAACCCTAAATCCCCAAAAATGCATCTCCCAATTTCATTTTCCCAAAGACCCAGACCCCATTCCCAAATCCCACTCCCAGACCTATCGCCGGACGCACCCCTCTCTCAATCGCCATTTGCGACACCTCCAAGGACTCGCCGGCCGCCGCCCATCACTTTCTGATTCCTACGCTCTTCTCGCCGCCGCCCTCCCAGGGACTAGGCTCGCCTCCCGTCATTCCCTCGCTCCCGGCTCGTCTTTTGTGCCTCCGCCTCCCGTCGACTACTCGACTAGCGTAACATCCAGGCTCGTCGGAGCCTCGGACTGCACCTTCGCCTCAGATTGCCTCCGTCGAATCCTGTCCCGGCCAGTCCCGCCATTCTTCCCTCCTACCTCCGACCTCGAACATGAGACCACTGTCAGACGTCCACCACCAAACGGTCGCCATCGCTTGGAGCAGCTTATCTACGACGTGTTCATCCAGGTACGAGAGAGTTGGTTTGTTTTCAGAGTTGATTCTTTTCGATTACCCAATTCTACAACTTCCGATTGTTGAATAAAAGTGTAATACCTAATTTGAGATTTTGGATTTGGGCGAAATGCAGATTCGGAGGTCTTGACAAGGTGAGGCTCGGGGAGATACCTTGTTGTTATTGAACGAGCGACCATAGCTCAATCTAGGGAAAGGAGTCGCTACAATCTAGTATAAACTCTATTATTGAGATATACCTTTGAAGATCTAGTATAAAATCTTAATCTCTAATCTAGGAACTTGGTTCATTTTCTGATCTTGATATTGCAGTGAAAATGTTGGCCTTCTCGGGCTCACACAGATAGGAAGCCGTAGAGAGGTGCAAATATCAACTACTTTCATGTTCTTCTCCCTATTTGCAACAATGTGGGGATTTCTCCAGGTTTAACATGAACTTTTGGGTTAATAACATGAACTTTTGGATTAGTTTGTGTGTACGTGTGTTTGCTGTTTGTTATAATGTTTTAACTGAAACAAATTTTTCTGTTAGTATGTTACTCAACATGAACTTTTGGATTAGTTTTCCTGCTTCTGGGTGCTCTTTATTATAACTCATAAATCCTTTCCATTTTTATGTAAGTGCTTGATTTTTATTTCTTGCTAATTGTAATTGTAATTTTTTTTACCACAAAAACCCACGGGTACCCATCAACCCGCGGATACCCAGCGGGTTGGGTTGGGTTTAAGTTTTTCAAACCCAGTGGGTTTCACCCCGGGTTTTTTTGGCGGATAAACCCATGGGTTTGGGTTTGGCAAAACCCGCCCCAACCCGACCTATTGTCATCCCTAGCCTAGTCCACTGTCCGAATTTTGATTCGAGGGCCCCAGGTGCGGACGATTGTGAACTCACCATTGAAAAATTTCCATGTATGTTGTTGTGTTTTTGTTGCTTTTTGGCTGCAGGACCATGAACACTTACCTAAACATGCTCGACGCCGACCAGAGGAAGACTCTGGGGGACATCCGACGCCGCAAAGTCGTTGAGCACCATTACCTCAATTTTGAGGTCTTCGAGGAGCTGGGTGCTCGCGAGGCAATGGAGGCTGCCATCCGCGCTTACTCTTGGCGCCGCCTCCTCTGCCTCGCTGAGCCAATCTATCAGGAGCTCCTCTGGGAGTTCTATGCCACCTTCGTGCACTTCCAGACCCACGCGGGCGAGCACAGCAACGCCATTCAGTTCCGACTTGACGGGGAGTATTATTCCCTCAGCTATGATGACTTCGGCCGGGCACTGGGGCTCCTTCCACCTTTCTCCTGCCACCTGGACATCGAACAGAATGACTGTCCCATCTTTCGGGACCAGCAATTCTTTGAGAGGATCCGCCTCCCGGAGTTTGCAGGCGCTGTGTTCACACCGGGCTACACCACTGCTACTCAGCTGTGCCCAAAGTGGCGCATCCTCAACCAGCTGTTGGGGAAATCTTACACCCCCAGCGGTGGCTCCACCAACCCATGTAACTTAGATACCTACGTACTACACCTAAACAAAGACTAGGATAACCTAAACCCATCAACCCAAATACGGACTAGTCCCAAGCCCAAATATATATACTCATCAATCCTTCCCCGTCAAAGAACCTTGGTCCCCAAGGTTCGGTCCCTGTCGAGACGTGGTGGTCGGCGACGATGACAATAATAGCTTTTGCGGTGACATCGAGGCTTTGGTCTCTTCCTGATTTTCCACGAGCAACAGCTAACCCCAAGCACCATTGTCCATTCATCAAACAAGAAAGCTTCCATCGGAAGCTTCTCAATGCCTTGCCGTCGCCGCTTTCTATATATCCAATTCTATAGTGCACTTTGGGGCACAATTAATTGCCCAGTAATCCACATAATTCCATCAACAGTACACGACTCCCACTCAGGCACAATTCCTTCATTCTTTTGCTCCATAAGTCCTTCATACCTTCTAAATTTCCAATGATAATTAGAAATTAATAACCCATCAACGCGAGTAGGCATAAGTAACTCCTTGGCCACTTCTATTTTTTCCATCGAATGGGTTTTTGCTTTTTAGAGAAAGACACAGAGAATGAACTGAAAGATACTAATCTAATTAAGAAACTGATAGCTATTTTGCAGTCATTATGGTCGCTTTTTGTAAGAAAAGGAAAAACAGAATACAATCGAAAGACAGAAAGAAAACTGATGGTTGATCGGTGAAAGAGAGAACCGAACAATCTTCCCACTCCTATCTACCCAGAATCATTCTCTATAGATGAGAGACTGAAGAAATTTCAAAAACCGAACCCTTGACAACCTAATAGATTTGCTATTCAAGCTGCAACCGTTACCCTTCTTGATGTGGAGAAAGCTTTAAATAGGCAGTAGTCTTCAGGACCGTTGAAGGAGATCCGTTGATGTAGCCATACTTTTGAGAAGCACAAGGTTGTAGGCGATCTTGGAGCTTGGAGAAAGTGGTTCTTCTTTTTCTTTTGGGTGTTGAGGATGAAGATGGAGGATAAGGCTGACCGAGACGAAGCCACTCCAGGGTATTAGAGATCGGCATCTTGGCAGCGGCGTCGTATGGTCATCTTGGCAGCGGCGTCGTTTGAGACTTTAGTGGTAGCAGCGTACCCCAGCGGTAGCAGCGTCGTTTTGGCTGAGGCAGCGTCGTTTTGGCTGAGGCCTCATTTCACAATTTCCCCCTTTAGCCGTTCCTCCATGCAAGAGATCCTGAAAAGAAACACACAGCAAACAACATACCCAAGTACAACTGATAGCAAAATAGTCAAGGTAATTAACAGAAGTTCAGCAATCGCCCATGGATTGCAAAATAACCAAAGTAGCCAAAAGAAGTTCAGCAATCACCCACGGATTGCAAAATATTCAAACATCAAAATAAGTCTAGCAATCACATACAGATTGCAAACAAAGCTGAAAGACACATAACATTCTGAAATATAATGCAGTCGTCAACAAAAGTTCCCCCTGAGATCTGCCATCCACTACTGAGGAGGACCTGGAACTGGAGAGCCAGGATCAACTTCAAGTTCTTCATCAGATGACTCAGATGAGGAGTCATTTAGAGCAACAAAAGGCCAAGGTTGAAAGGAGCCCGTAAGGGAGACCGAGTAGGAGATGGAGGAACTAGAAATCCCAAGCAGGCCAGTACATTTCTAGCACTGAGATGAATGGTAGGGGATTCAGATCGAAAACCGGAGATGTTAATGTTTATATTTGCGAGAAGAGTGGTGACAATCCCTCCAAAAGGCAGAGACCCATCTCCTGGCGATATCATAGCTCCGAATAGAAGTGAGCAATAATAAAGTTTCTGACCAGCTGTAGCATGGGAAAGGATCCAGATATCAAGAGGAAGAACTTGATCTCTAGAGAACCCGCGAGGTAGTAACACCCGAGTCAGGAAATAGTGAAAAATCCTGAGTTTTGGACATAAGCGAGAGGCAGGAAAGACTTCGAAGGTGGAGTCAGCTGGCTGTCCAGAGAACTTGGAGCCTTCAACATGAAGATTGAAATCAAACTTCCACATCTCAGATGTATGAGAAAGAGCAAGTCCAGAGGAAGTGATAGACCGATAATTATACATGTTTTTACCCCTATTCTGAGGCCGTTTGTGACGAGGAATCTCGTGTTTTAAGCCGATTTCACGCTAGGTTGTGTGTTTATGTCATATTTCAGGTCCCGGCTTGGAATCGAGGCGGAGAAACGAGTTCTGGGTCGAAAGGAGCAAGGTTGGGACGAATAGGGCTGAAGGAGGAAAATACCCGGTCAGGTGGCCAAATACCCGA